GTTTATGTAATGTAGGTTTTCTTAGAAGATATTTTTTAAATTAAAAGAAATTTAGAAGATATATTTGATTTTCTTAAATTTAGATAAATTTAGATGATATTTTTTTAAATTAGAAAATAAATGTTGATTTTTAAATTATTTTTTAAAAATATGATGTTGATTTTATTTGTATAATTATTTTTAAAAATATTTTGCTCACTTAAAGATATAAATTATCAATTAAAACAGGTAGATTAAAGAAAATATAGGGCTAAGATTTGGAGCAGATTTTTAAACCTACTCTTAAAGACAATATAATCATTCTTATGTATAATCGAGTTGATTCATTAACCTAACAAGTCAAATCATGTATAGGTCAAATTTAGCTCATTTAATTAACGAACTTAGTTTGTTGCTTATATTGAGCTCATTTGCCTTATGAACTTAATTCAACAATTTAATTGTCGAATTAAATTGCAAATTATATTCGAGTTGGTTCAGTTCATTGTCAGCCCTATGAGAAGTCATAATTTGCTAATACATTTATCCCTGTGAATTTTCATACCAAAAATATTTTTAGGTTTTTCCCAACATGCAGGACGTTTATGTCATGGGTATGATTTTCGGCACGTTTATGTCATGGGTTTATGTCACCGGTTTCCAAATAGACACTTAATCTTTACATTTCATACTTGTAGATCAAAATAAAATAAAACTAGGAGTTTCTTAATGCACCCTTTATGTTTCTTAGCCACCACACGAAATTATTTAGTTGCCCCCAAATTTCGAAGATGCATCTCCGGACGCACCAAATTTTGATTGAACGTTGAAGTACTCCGAAGATGCATCTCCGTAACAATTTAAAACATACTATGCATCACACTTAAAATCCATTATACACGTGTATTGTAACAGAGATGCATTCTTCGTGAATTTTACGGAGATATATCTCTGTAACGTATCAGAACATTACTTTCATGTTATGTTTTATTTACGTGTATTTAGATGCATATTTAAACCATACCATACAATCGAAATTCAAAAAAAGACGTACATAAATTCAGATGGTCCAAAAAATTTATATATAAATAAAAGACCAATAAATCTCAAAAATGACATACAATCGAGAACAATGATAAAGTAACATGATGTCAAAATAAAATACATATCATAATACTACTACTATATACTAATACGCTATTGTGTATGTCCGACTACCTCTCATATGCCTTCTCTACCTCCTCGGTCATCAATCCTTCTGTCCTCTGGCACTGTCTTCGATAGATCAATGCCCCCCGTGCCTTCGTCATGATGGAGTCTAGGACCTGCCTCACATTAAACCCATCAGGGAATATACCTTTGTCAATGCTTGTTTGCGCAATCTCCACTATGCAACGACACCTAGGCTAGACATCCTTAGCATGATCTAACTGTGTCTGCTCCTCCTCTAGTATCTCCTAATTAGATGACATCGGCGGATCTCTTAGAACATCATACACCATGTACAGATGTGACACCCTGAAGAACCATCTGATGTACCCTTTGATGTAGTTCCAGTCACTCTCAGCTATGGTACTCCGTGCTATACCAGATGACTCTCATAATCATCAAACATGCCTTATATTTGTCTACATGTCAAGGCAGGGGGAGTTGAGACAACAGGGTGTTTGGGAATAGTCTAAGTGTAGTCAAACCGCTGTATAACGCGCTCGAGCAAATGAAGAGTTGTGAGACGCGATCCGCAGGCCAACCGTCCAGAGTATATCATTATCTCGTCAAATGGTCTTGTCTCACGGTGATCAACATAGTTGTTGAAGTGCATGTCTTCGACAACCGAACGGTCAAGATAGACTTTGAAAGGCTAAGTCGTCTGGTTCCCTCTGAGCGGGGAAAAAGCAGTAGCACACAGCATATTCTCAGTGTAAGTCGATACACTCGCCCAACCGAAGATATGCGGGAAGTGTTGGAGGATCCAAGCCTAAAATGAAAAGTTTAAAACACGCAAATCATCAGTAATCACTTTGCAAAAATGAAATTAAAATGACAAAGAAACATTCAAAGACAATAATTATTATTGTCGGTAGTGTGACGCTTCCTGTGACCTATTTCGTCTTCCACATACTGTTCTATCTCAACTTCGAATATAGGTAGACCAAACATGTCTGGCAGTATGGTCTGGGTACAGAGGCTGTAATGACAAATCAACAGAGCCTCCTCTAAATGTCACTGACTCAGCATCCGCAGCAACCTCACCCTTGGAGGTGACACTGGATCAGTAGTATTAGCAGTACAAGGTGGCACAGACTTAAAAGCATCTATAGTAGGAGGTGGCACTGGTGATTTGAGTACCGCAGGCGTCTGAATAGGGGAACCTTGGCGCTTGCAGGAGAATGGAAGGAGTGATGCGTCAGTAGGTGAATCTCGTCTCCTACGGAAAGAAGAAGATGGAGTGGCATGAGGAGAAGCACGAGCCCCAGAAGTAGATGGCTATATATGACAAGAGGGGCCAGGAGCCTCCGAAACCTATTGACTATTTTCCCTCTATATTTATGTGTGTGCTAAACAACCCTCTCGTGCCTCAGTTTGTCGAGTCTATCAGTCATTATACATGTAAGTTAAACTAAAGCACACAATTAGTGCAGGAAAGCAACACCACAAGCAAAAAAAATTAAAAAAAAAATACTGAGACAATTTCGGAGATACATCTCTGAAATCTGGAAAACTAAAACGCTGAAAAATTCCGGAGATGAATCTCCAAAATTTTCTGCAACTCAGAAGTTGCATTAATGGCGTCAATGTACTTCATTCACTCCCAAAAAAATGTTTTTATCATCCTTTTCAACCAACAAACGTCTAATACACTATGTCTAAACTATCATAAATGCAATTTCTACTCATTTCTAACCTTAATCATCAATTTCAACTCATTTACACAAACACTCAAAAGTTTACAAGAAATGGATGTTTCTGATGTTAGTGGTGTTGATCGAAGTTCACTTGAGTTTTGTTGATTTATTTTTGACTTGGTGAAGAGAAAAAAGTTGAAAGAGTTTGAAGTTGTTTTTGAGCAAAATGAAAAATGAGGAAGGAGAATAGTCTGACGCAAATTAACCTCCAAAATATTCTGAAGATGCATCTCTGAAATATTTTTACATTAACTAAGCTTTTAGTTTCAGAATCTGGAAGTATTTATATTTTTTCGCGTGGTAGCTAAGAAACTTAAAAGATGCATTAAAAAATTGCCATAAAATTTCATAGCAAAATCAATGAAGATTGATTCAAGCGAAAGAAAATAGTTTAAGTGAAGTAAACTTATGAAAAAAATTCACATTTAATATTCAACTTTGTTTCAATTAGGATTAGCTTAAGTGAAGTAAACCTATGAAGAAGAAAAAAAAGCAAATCAAACATTGATCTACATAGGGGTGTTCGCGGTGTGGTTTAAGCAATTTTGGCGCTAAAAATCATTCCAACCGCAACAGAAAAAATCATGTTGTTTGGTTTGATTTGGTTGGCTTTTAGAAATAAAACTGAACCAAACCAAACCAAACCAATCTGGTTTGGGTTGGTACGGTTGGTTCAATTTCTTACAAGTTTTTTATTGAACCATACATACACCTATAGAAAACAACATAACTTTGTGTTTAGTCATTCATTCATTATCAAATTAAAACAAAATTCATCATATTTAAACAAAAACTTTTCATTCAATATACAAAAATCAGTTTAGTCAAACGTGAAAAAAAATAGTAGAATAGGTAAGACTTACATGACAAATAAGATGAGAAGAATGTTTGATACTACTAGAAGAGGTTTGAGATGGTTGAAATTAAAATCCTAAGTGTGAATAAATAGTTCTTAATTGTAAGATTAATATATAATAGGTTTGAGTTTTATATTGAATGGGGGATAAATAAAATTTGGGTTGTAACATAATACAATTTAATTTAGTTTAGTTCAATTTGCAAAGTACAAACCGCAAAGTAAACCAAATCGTGCGATTTTATTAAAAAATGGTCTGATCACGTCTAAATCAAATGCATTTTGTGTGGTTTAGACATCAAATTATTATGAATTTGGTTTAGCTTCAAAAGAAATTATGTGTATATGTATCGAAAAAAATTACGTGTATAGAAAGAACTACTCTCCCTAATTGGTAGGGAAAAAAACATTTAAACCTGTTTTTCACAAGTAATAGATTTTTCTTTTAAAAAACATTTATTTATATCAGGAAAAATTTTCAGACATTGTTCCTTTAATCACATTACCACCATTGCAAGTGTTATCATTTTTTTCTAAGCATGCTAGGATTATTCAGGTGCTATGCGTTTGTTTGGTTTTCCATCACTTTTAACAAAATCACGTCAAATGTCAACGTTGACGTAGAAGCTCCAACTTATAACTTTTTTGAAATCACACCAAATTTGTATTGAGATGTGATATTGTGGTTCAAAACTCATTACCAAACATACACGAAAAGATACATTACTAACGAACCCAGTCCATAATAATACATTACTAACGCTAACAAAGCCTAAACGAAAAGATTTAACTTTCACCTCATGATCTTCATGTGCCCTTCCTGTCTTCCAGAGAAATTGGCATGTGTAGTCATATATAGATTCTGATAGCATTTTCAGATGCTTGTGCAGTTGATTATATCTTCCATATGCAAAAACAGGCTGCAAAGGCTGCAAAGTATACGAGCTATAATTTATAGGCAGAATCATAAGCCCATTAGATCTCCATAACTTGAATTAGAAGAGAACTCGGTATCACAGACTGAATTCAAAGAATTAATTAAACTGGGATTTTGTTGTTCAGTCTCCTTACAGAAGGTACCCCAATCTCATTCAAGTTTAGCATTCACTAGTAGTTGATTATGTGTTTCTCTGATTTCTTTTTCCTCTTGCCTGCATTTTCATCATCTAAATTATTAATCTTTTACTTCGGAGAGTACGAGAAGAGAGAGACTGACATCCACCACTAACAAATCTGGTAAAACACGTGTATATATATGTTCACTGTTTATGCCAGTTGTTATATGGTTGCTTCCCGCATTGCTTCAGGGCATGCATGCATCCAGCTGCTAACAGCAAACCAAACACACCAAACGCCATTAAAGCTGCATTTCCAACATTTCGATAATAGCCACCCTGCATCAGTAGCAAGCAAGTTAATATGTACATGACAGAAAACACACAAAATGGTTGAGACATACATTTTTTTCTTCATAAAATCATTTTTAGCCAGAAGTTGATGGATTGTCAATATTGCAAACAATCATTAAAAAGAGATGGATTACTCTAGCACCTTTTTTCCAAGGTAGCAAAAGTGAATTGTCAATCATTTATTACTTGTTCAACATATTTAATAAAAAATTCTGAATTTTTGTAATAAAACTAACAATAAGTAATAAATACCAAGTAATATCACCCGATAAGCTCATGATTTTTAGGGACAAGTTGGGTTGGTCAAGTTAAATTCATACTCAAATTGTTATGCCTGTTTTCAAAGTAGTGGCAGCCAGATTGATTAATATTTCCATAGATGAGTCACGTTGGCATAATAAGAATTTAAATGAGGACTTGTATCTTCTACTTTTACTAACAGAAGAATTTAAACAGGGCCACTTTTGAAAAGAAAATTCTTATGCCATCCACCCTCCACAACCATGTCATTCTAACATCAAAATTTTATCTTTCCACATAGAATATGGCTCGTGTTGATAATGCCAAAATGGATAATTAATATATGCCTCCTAAAATTTCAGAAAAGAAAAATTATGCATAAATACACACTTGCACCACAGATAGCAGAATTGCAGCATTTGCAGGGGCCAGAGAGAATCCCATCATCCCTCCACGCAATTCATTAGGTACATGCCTGCAAACAAAGAAATAAAAATATCAAATCCATTATTGAGCAAACAAAGAAGTACAACTCTTGGTAATGAGATTACATCGTCCTCAATCGAGCAAGTGATGGTAAGATGAAGCCAACACAAGCATGAAATAGGCTAAAAAGTGTCACCAGAACTCCAATTTCCTACACATGAAAAAATTATGAGATCCAAATATAAACTTCAAGATTGAAAATCTGACCAAAAGTATATCTACTACTTTTTAAAGTCAACAATAACTGCACCTGATAGTCATATGCAACAATAGACAAGAGAGCAGCCAATGTGATGTATGCATATACTAGGCAGTCCTCAATTCTAAATGATGATGGTCCACTAGTAAGACAAGGAAACACAGTGCTTCCTAGCATCCTTGAGCCCAAAAAGCATGGATATATCAGTCCTAGTTGCACTTCTCGGCCATCAGCCTAAAATCACATGCATTAAGAATAAATAGATATATACTGAGACTGAAAATATAACAGGTTCAACAACATGAAGCCTCTTAGTCAAAAAGATTCAATTATGGATACATCTTCTTCAAATAGTGAACCGAAAAGAAAAACCCCTTATAAATTAGTTAAATGAACCCCATTTATGGTTCACCAATACAAAGGGCCTGAACAAAAGTAAGTCAGTAAAACATTCATTCAATGCAATATGTTAATGTTGTTTTAAATATTCTCCATATTAATTGATGTCCCCATTATGTAATAAGTTGTGCTCTAAAATTTCAATATCATACCACCACTGTTGGTGCCCAAAGGATCCACAAAATTCCAATGGAGAAGTGAAGGCAAGCTTGTGCCACTGTCAACAGCCACATCTTTTTATCTGTGGATTATTAAAGATAATCAGTATGACACTTACACTTTTCATAAAATTTAATCACATGTTTCTCTAGTGCCAACTCTTTTCCACATCTAACCTCATAAATTGTTATTATATCATGTCAGTTTGAACATAGAGATGGACTTTATCATGCACAGCTCAGGCCTAATATAGCTTGAAAATGAAACTTAAATATAAACAAGATCAAACTCTTAACAAGGAAAACTGCATATAAAAAAATCACAAGGAAAGCAAGTGGTTGATTGTCAGAAACTTAACGATTGCAGAAAAGAAAAATAAATCCCAAGACACATTTTCATGCTGTCAAATCTCAGCCATGACATCCAAGTTTAATGCAGTTGAACTACAATGTGCATATTTCCTCTGTATTTCCATTCTCTAGTACTCTTGTTGCAGGTTTCTTGCAACAAGAAAGGAATTATTGGTGAACTATTTTTTTGTGGAATAACATAAAGGTGATGCAAAGCAAAAACTGTCAGTGGAAAGTAATTTAGAACCAAATATCAAGCATAGCAAGAGAAAATGACAACTAGGAAATAGAAAGTTTGGGTATGTAGGTAGAAAATAATGAAGGGAAAAAATAGGCTCTTATGAGTATTCCATTGACTCTTGGTAAAAGACCACATATGTCCCAGAGACAAGGCAGCAAACTTCATAGAAACATAAATCAAACGAACGCTTCTTTGTAATTCCAGAATGTTCGTGGTTATTAATTAGTTATCTAATTTCCAAAGAAATGTTGGGTACTGAAATAGTGTATCCTTTTAAAAATAAATAAAATACTTAACTGTTTATTATAAGAGAATAAAAGGTGAATAAGCATGAGTGTGAGCTTACCACCAAAAATATATGCATAGAAGGACAGACTATACTCCTTAAAAGAAGTTGCTCCTGGAGTTTCTGTCCACCCTCTAGTGAGAAAAATGAAGCATATGATTGCTAATAAGATGACTGCAGAGGAAGGAGCAGTGTTTTTCACCATATTATTACCAATCAGCCCATTTGCAAACATTTGGCTGGCAATAAAGCATGCAGACTCAAAGAAAGTCATTAACCAATATGTGTCATTAAGTGAATCAAGCCTGTGTCCTTGCTGTAGACAAATACACAAACAAGATTGACATTAACGTAAAAAGAAGGGGAAAAAATCTGGATCAAGTCATTCAATAGAGAAAAACTAAGCTCCTACTGGAGAAAACAGAAGAAAATTGCTGATTACCTTCTCATGTTGAGTGACCATCCAAGTTTCGAAACTGAATGAGAATATTGTATTGGCCATAGAGAGACAAATGCTAGTCATGAAAATGCTTGGTTGTTGCGTAATCTTCTTCCATACACCAACAAAGAAGTGTAGGATGCAATATGTCAAACAAACTTTCTTGTGACCTCTATACAATTGCAGGTAGTAAGTTAGTTTAACAAGTAACAAAACATTGAAAACTATTTTAGAAAATGCATGTCTCAATTCTGCATTGTTTAGGTAGTATTTCTGGAGTAACCAAGATATTTCACATCAATAATAATAGCAAAATCTGTTCGAAGTTCAAATCATATGTCGAAGTATGCTTTGACCAATTTGATAGAAACATTGAATAGTAATACTTTGGAAAATGAGACTGATATCACAAAATATATAGGTTACAAGATTTATAACAGAATCATCCTAAAATAAAGGTTGCATTTTAAAAATAAAAAGTCCTCTTAATAATCATCTCAAATATCTACCGAAATCAACTTAAAATAGTACAGTGAATTGAGTAACATCAACAATCACAGGGTTAGTAATTCTTCCTGTGTAAGGAAATTCACTATAATTTGGCTGATAAACATCACTACAACATAAATAATTAAATAAATCTTATTTATCGCAACAAAATTTGCATATTTTGCAAATGTTGAATTACACAAAAACATACTTTGGTTTTTCAAATGAACTAGTAGTAATGAAAGCAAGTAAAACTAGAGACTCACATCAAATCTGAGAGCATGCCAAGGAACGGAGCAGCGAAAAGAGAAGTTGTATAACCGTAACAGAGAGACATGATCATCTCCTCCCTGCGAATTCCATACGAGGCTAACTCGAACTCCCCAAACACTGACCATAGACCTTCCACAACTGAGAAGATAAAAAAAAAAAAAAAAAAAAAAAAAAAAATACCACAAATGATACATCATTCATAATTCATAATTTCACACCTCTGATCTAAAGCTTAATCGAGTAACTAACTAATCATTACAAACAAAATCAAATTCACTATTCAGTTTCCAAAACATAACAGATTTAGAAATAACAATACATATAAATAAAATTTCATAAGAAAAATTCAGAAAACAATGCACGACTATAAACAAAATAATTTCGAAATTCGATTTCGCACATTTTCTACAAAACAGTGTTAAAATGAAGAAGAAAATGAACCTGAAGCGATGGAATAGATGAAGAGGAAGTTCCGCTGGAAAGTCGTAAACGATGAAGAGATTCCATGGTCGAAGATTGTGGAGGTTCTGTTGAGATTGGAGAGATGAGGATAAAGAAAGATCGAGAAGCAGCAACAGACGGAGAGGAAGAGGAAAATTGCTGGATTCAGTTCCCAAACGGAACTCTCAATAACGACTCCCATTGGCGTTTCTATAGTTCTGGTTTGAAAGACGCGCGAAGAGAAAATGCAATGTGTTTACATTCCGTTTGGATCCAAAGTAAACCCTAGATCGTGAGAGTGAGTCTGAAACCGAGGGTTGGATAGATTTGATCGGTGAGGGAAAGTTCAGAGAGTAGTGAAACTTCTCGTTGTAATGGAGACGTAAATCTGTTCAAAAAATCTGTTTGAACAGATTTGGCAATTAAAATTAAATCTGATTTGATAAGATTAATTTTGGTTATAATTTTGTATGCACAACTTCAGACACATTTATTTTATGTAAAATTGTTTAAAATGCATTCAACAATAAATAAAAGATTTAAAATAAGTTTTGTACTATAATAGTTTTACAACTCGACTCTCATTTAGAATCAATCAATTATATAGGTAAAATTAATAAAATAATTTTTTTTTCACTACAGTCTCGATTAATCTAATTTAAAAGTTAATTTTAATATCAAATGATTTTTGTTTTTTTTTAATCACAGTTGTGGCGGATTAAATTGTAATTATTTCTATTAAATTTAATTTCATCACTTTTAAATCAACTATATAAAAAAATTATTTTTTTCAAATGAAATCTATATATACATTTGTTTTAAAAGAAGATGCTTAATTCTTGAAATTATTGATGCAAAAAGTTAGTTCTCGATAAACATTTATAAACTTTCAAGTTAATCTCTAAATTAGAAAATTTTAATCTATATATTTGATCTGACCTGATCCGAAGGGGATCACGGATTGGTCACACTCTGTTGGACTGCTACCTGTTCACCGGTTATGAGGAGGAGAAGGGGGGTGTACCTGCGAGACACTCTGATGTCAAAGTAAGGAATTGGGCAGAGTGAGAGCAAAGTACAGAAAAGTGGGTAAGAAGTGAATTACCTGACCCTCTTGTGGAAGAGAGTATTTATAGAGAGACCCAGCGCTGGGCCAACGGTCACTTGTGTTGGGCTGAGTTGCCAGACCCAACCCAAGTGACTGCTAGGGCTTACGTGGCGTAGTGAAGACCAGAACGGGGTCTTCGCCCTAGTCCAACTGTCATGTGATCTCTGGAAGGTGGGTTTGACCTGCTCTTTCGGAGGGGAGCAGTTGGGAGATGACGTGTCCCCGCGGAGGGGAGCATGTGGAGAACGTGAGCATGGCACGTTGTTCTCCCCGCGGAGGGGAGCTCGCGAGGTTCCCCGGAGGCACGTTGTTCTCCCCGAGGAGGGGAGCACATGTGGACGTGGGAGAGCCATGGTGTCCTGCTCGACGGCATGGGGAATACCGCCCGTGGAGGGCGGTACTTGGTCGTGCGGGCGATTCTCTTGCCCGGCGTGGTTGGGACAGGTCTTCCTCGCGGGGAGATAATTCTAGTGTGTCGGGGACTTTATGCCCGACACGATACCCGGACTGGACAGGGTCTGGTGGAACATTATTGGGCTGGGCCGGCATAGTCAGCCCGGAGCCCAGGCCAGAACAATATTTATATAATAAATAGATTCGAAGATCAATATAGCATATGAGTCTGAATTTATAAGATTTCAAATTAACATATTTACTGTTTAAATTTTCAATTGTTAATGGATTAAGGTTGTTTACGTATTAATTGAAAAGTATTTCAAAAGTTATTACTGAAAGAGTGAAATAAAATAATATATAAAATAATTAAATTGATGAAGATTAGTATTTACATGATATAAAATAAAGAGAAGCACAATCAAAGGATTTAAGTTAATAGTATTCATCTTTGAAAAAAAGCATATGTATTGTTCAAGTGATTTCAAATATAAAAGAAAATGGGTTGTGACAAATATTATTTTGGATCGGTCAAACACACAAATAGTTAAGGTTTAAATCAATGTAAATTCATACGAAATATTTTTGATATCCACTTTTCATTATATTTATTTTGAATTTCGAACTGATCTAGAGTTTGGAGTGATAATTTTGCAGGTTCACCCTCGTGCCACTGTATCAGAGATCAGCAACATCGCTTCAGATCTCGTCTTTCTATCACATCCAATTTTGTTTTCATAACGCAATATTGTCGCCGTCTGTGGGAATCGACTTCTAAGTTCCACGAAATTCCACAAATGGATCATCCTAGATTTAAACTCAGATTTGTACTAAAATTACCTAAGAATGGATGTAATTACCTCCAATATCATATCAAAAGCTCTCGATGGAAGTTCTCGATCAACCTTTCAGTCTCGCATCGCCTCAATTGTCCATCATCAATATGATTCTTACCATAACGACTTATGTCGTAGATCTATTATCGGAGTATCTTCTCGATGAGGTAAAGAACCCTTGAGCGATGAACGAAGGTCGTATCGCACCAGAGTTACTAGTTCACGGTTGTCATACCCCAAATTTGTCCTACTTGTGTATAGTTTTCATTTTGTACATCCGCCCGCCAACTATTATTCAAAAATTCAAAATGTGTTACTTTTTATCATGAGTTTGAATTCTCTGATACCATTTGTAACGCTTCATATTAACTTCAGGCACGCACACTTAACTATGGAGTTCCTATGAACGGGCTACTGAAAAGAAGATGCATCTTGTTGGTATAGGTAGTACCAGTTAATCTTTATAAGCCTTCATTCAACCATGAAGTCCCATACCTGCATAGCCTCAGGATCCCTCTCATTCCGATGTGAATTCGGTTTTCCCCTAAAAGCTGCTAGGAGTGTCTCATTGTCATGCCTCATGCACCGACAACCACTCCCTTGCTCACAGGTGATACATGTAACCATTATATGCCCTATTCGACCTCGGGTGTTACATGCCCACCAGCTTCCGCTTGGTTCGTCCACGAACCACATCGTACTGGGAGAGGTCTGGCTCTGATACCATTTGTAACGCTCCATATTGACTTCAGGATTTCCGACTAACCCCACAAACCAACACAGGTCTTTTCAGCATGCTTTTTCCTCACTCACATGCTTTCTGGAAAACTTCTTAGAAGGTCGTCCATCCCAAGATTTCTCCAAGTCAAGCACGCTTAATTATGGAGTTCCTATTAACGGGCTACTGAAAAGAAGATGCATCTTGTTGGTATACATAGTATCAATTAATCCTTATAAGCATTCATTCAACCATGAAGTCCCATACCTGCATAGCCTCAGGATCCCTCTCATTCCAATGTGAATTCAGTTTTCCCCTATAAGCTGCTAGGAGTGTCTCATTGTCATGCCTCATGCACCGACAACCACTCCCTCGCCCACAGGTGATATATGTAACCACTCTATGCCCTATTCGACCTCGGGTGTTACATGCCCACCAGCTTCCGCTTGGTTCGTCCACGAACCACATCGTACTGGGAGAGGTATGGCTCTGATACCAGTTGTAACGCTGCATATTGACTTCAGGATTTCTGACTAACCTCACAAACCAACACAGGTCTTTTCAGCATGTTTTTTCCTCACTCACATGCTTTCTAGAAAACTTCCTAGAAGGTCACCCATCCCAAGATTTCTCCAAGTCAAGCACACTTAACTATGGAGTTCCTATTAACGGGCTACTGAAAACAAGATGCATCTTGTTGGTATAGGTAGTACTAATTAATCCTTATAAGCCTTCATTCAACCATGAAGTCCCATACCTGCATAGCCTCAGGATCCCTCTCATTCTGATGTGAATTCAGTTTTCTCCTAGAAGCTGCTAGGAGTGTCTCACTGTCATGCCTCATGCACCGACAACCACTCCCTCGCCCACGGGTGTTACATGTAACCACTCTATGCCCTATTCGACCTCGGGTGTTACACTGGCAGAGGCTTATCCAGTGGGTCACATTTTTGATTAGGCAATGGTATATTCAAGGTTACCAGGTCAAGAGTGTCTGCAATGATGCTTGAAGTTCAGCTGTTTTGACCTAATCTTGGTCAAGCAAGAATGTGTTTCAAGATTAAGACCATGATGTGCATGATTCGGGTGATGTGTGTTTGAAGGTGCAGTTAGGGCTTGTGTGTATTTTCAAATCAGTTAGGCGTGGATCAGATCGTCGGGTCGTATCAAGTTATCAGTGGCTTCTGGGTTGAAAGTCATCAAAGTTTAATTCATCTTTCAGTAAGGGTTTTGTGCTATCTAACTATCTTGCCCACAACCTGTGGACGACTACCAATCTATGCACTTCGATTTTCTTGACAAAGACGCCATGTTTGCCAGAGATTATACAACACTAGGCCCAAATGATGGACCCGAACAAGGATTGCGATGGACGCTCGTGTTCGATGGTGTCGCAAATGCTAAAGGCTATGGAATTGGGGCAATCATTACCTCTCCAACTGGATTTCATCTGTCATTCACTGCCAAATTGTGCTTCAAATGTACTAATAATATGGCCGAGTGCGAAGCATGTATCTTTAGGATTGAAGCTTCCATTGATAATAGGATCAAGATTTTAGAAGTCTATGGAGATTATGCGCTTGTTATATGCCAAATAAAAGGGGAATACGAAACACTTAATGTTAAGTTGATTCCTTACAAAGTTTATGTCTTAAAGCTAATCCCGTACTTTGATGAAATCACTTTTAATCACATTCCCAGAGCAGAAAACCAATTGGCAGGTGCTCTAGCAACATTAGCATCCATGTTCCAAGTCAAGTGGAAGAGTGAGGTCCCGTCCATCTGTTTAAAGTACCTTGACGAACCTGCTTATTGCTTGGCGACCAATGTTGCAGAGCTTAAAGTTGATGATCATCCTTGGTTCTATGATATCAAGCGGTATCTAGAAACACAGGAATATCCAGAGGGGATTACCATCACTAACAAGAAATATCTTAGGAAAGTCTCGTCGAAGTTCTTCCTCAGTCTGTCGTACCTCGGAAAATAAGATCCTCGTGATGGACGCGGAAAATACTGTTCGAAACAGAGTCGCCACCAAATTTTATTCATTCCAGGGATTGAATAGGAAAATATCGATAAAACCTTTAAGGAGATAAGAACATGGTCATCGCAACCAATATTCTAGGTTCGGGAGTCGATTACATGAG